ATAGTGTTTAGATCCCATTGTGTTTCACACACATAAAAAAATAATAAAAATCTCAGGTGGTCCGCGAACAAAAACGTTTGAGAACGTAAAGAGTAGACTTGATATGTCCCCTCAATTTTCATGTTTTTTTTTATATATATATTTCAGTATATAACAAAAGACAAGATTACAGCGATGGCTATAATATAAGTCAAAAGAAAAGACAAGGTCACAGCGACAACTATAATATAAGCAAGCTACCAGTGTGTAGAAATATAAACGGACTTTTTCTGCACGTTAAACACTTTTATTGCGAGCTTTCGGCCTCTCACTGAACCTTCATCTGGCAACAATGTACTAAAGGAAATAATTCGTTAAACTGTATCTAGGCAACAGTCGTAACAATAACTGACATCTGGTATCAAAGTTATTTATTATTCATAATTCTATATATATTAGTTTACCTAATTATGAGCCTTAAACAACAACTATAAGCTACCAATGTTTTTGTTACATGAAATCTACTTCACGTGAACAAACTGACACTTCACTGAACATCTCGTTTCCATTCTTCACTGCAATGGACCTATGAACCTTATATTCGCGAACTTATCGTATGATCACTCGTAAAATTATGACAATTAGGGGTTCCACGGATAGTCATAGCTCAATGCTTGCTCGGAAGTCAACGCTGATTGGCTAAGTCCGTACGCTTATATCAGCTAGAAGTGGGTGTTTTATTCACACAGAGTTCTAGATATCAGGATATTTGTACAGATAGACACGGAATCTCATTATATGCATCAGAGCCTCAGCAAACGTAAGTTTGTGGTTTGGGAATTTCTGAAAAGCTTGGAACAGTTCCATTGAACGGCGTGCTAACAGACTCGTGTCACGTACACACACACACATGTTGATTTATAGTATATTATTAACATTTCAAATAGCAAAAAAATAAAGTGCTTGTCAGACAATTGACCTCTACTTTTCGATATGAGGCGACATTTAAGGTAAATTGAAGAATGACAATCTTTCAAGCATGTCATTGCGAGTTACGTTTCTACGAGAAGTGTTGTAATAGGTAAGAGTACAAGTACCTCATGTTTCAGTGGTATCAGTAGTGCTTGCCATTTCCTGTTATCTATATATTATTGATTACTTCCCGCGTTCAAAGTTTCTAAATCTAGTGTGTTTACTGTCCGTTATGTTTTGTTCACATTTAAACTAAACATGACTATACTTACTTCCAAATGTGTACTTCAAGAACAGTTGAAAGCATCTTTTCTACCCTGTACTTAATCTCTTTATTTCGTGTTTAAAATATTGGATCTACGCTGGACTCTATGTCACTATTTTTTTATTTATAGAACCAGATCTACTCTGGTCTCATACACAAAAACTTCTAGAAACTAAAACTTGAAAATTGACTTTGAACCCATGATAGTTTAAGAAACCATGTCTGCCCTGGATTCAAATACATAGCTTCTGTTTAAGGAATCCAGTTTACAGTGCATTTGAGCCCATGATTTTGGATTTAAAAAAACAGGAACGTGATCTACTTGGATTCTTGTTTTAGACAATTGGACCTACATTAGATGTAAGCCCATAATTCTTGGGCACATGGTGCATTTCAACACATGATTTTCAGTTTTAAAAAATCACGCAAATTATAGATTCGATTCAGTGACTTCTGGTCTAAGCAACTGAACTTATGATTTGGAATAAAATCCATGACTCCAGGTTTCAAGAAATGTACTTAACCTTAAGTCCACGATTGTTTAATTAATTAATTGTACCCATTGTGGATTAACGTTTATGCTTTTCATTCAAAACCTACACCTACCATAGATTCAGGTCCATATCTTTTGTTCAATAAACTGGATTCTTGGTTAAAAGACAAGACATTTTTTGGTTTCGAGTCCATGATTTATGTCATAACAACAGAGCTTGTACTGGACTCGAACCAATCGTTCCATGTTAAAATAATCTGTCCTACTATGGATTCGAATCCAAAGCTCTGGAAAAAAAGACAGACTTGCTCTGGATTTCAACATGTTTTTCCCGGATTAAAAATTTACTGATGAGTTCTTAAACCATGCGTTATATGCTTAGGGTATTTTAACTTGTAGAATACAGCTTTTCGAATGCATAGAAGAATTCTAAAATTAAAAGGCTTGGAGTTAGGCTTAATGGAATGAGTGTGTGTGTGTGTGTTTAATACTATTATTTTTCTTTAGTGCGAAAAATTAGTCTATTGTTTAGACTATTAGTCTATTTAAACTAATAGTCTATTGTTTAGACTATTAGTCTATTGTTTAGACTAATAGTCTATTGTTTAAACTAATAGTCTATTGTTTAGACTAATAGTCTATTGTTTAAACTAATAGTCTATTGTTTAGACTATTAGTCGATTGTTTAGACTATTAGTCTGTTGTTTAGACTAATAGTCTATTGTTTAAACTAATAGTCTATTGTTTAGACTAATAGTCTATTGTTTAAACTAATAGTCTATTGTTTAGACTATTAGTCTATTGTTTAGACTATTAGTCTGTTGTTTAGACTAATCGTCTATTGTTTAGACTATTAGTCTATTGTTTAGACTATTAGTCTATTGTTTAGACTATTAGTCTGTTGTTTAGACTATTAGTCTATTGTTTTCCTAGATGTTAGGAATGTCCTCTCATACACACGTGCATTAAAGTTACGTCATGCGCTAATTGTTGTTTGTAACTAGAGATTTTCCTGAACCGTAACGATAATTACTCCGAGTACAGCTGTTCCCACAAGAAAAAAAAACCATAAAAACCATTCCCTTGACCAACTTTGTAGGTCTAATCGTAAAAAACGAAAAAAAAACTGTAGAACATTGGGTGAGTAACAAAGTTGCTTGGAGAATAGCAGCAAACTCCACCTCATGGGTATACTACTGGAGAATAGCAGTAAACACCTCCTCATGGGTATACTACTGTAACGTGTGAGTAACAAAGTTGCTTGGAGAATAGCAGTAAACACCTCCTCATGGGTATACTAATGTAACGTGTGAGTAACAAAGTTGCTTGGAGAATAGCAGCAAACCCCTCCTCATGAGTATACTAATGTAACGTGTGAGTAACAAAGTTGCTTGGAGAATAGCAGCAAACCCCTCCTCATGAGTATACTACTAGAGAATAGCAGTAAACACCTCCTCATGGGTATACTACTGTAACGTGTGAGTAACAAAGTTGCTTGGAGAATAGCAGCAAACACCTCCTCATGGGTATACTACTGTAACGTGAAATGCACGGCGAAATCTAGAGGTGCACTCGATGGAGCTCGTAGCTCCGCCACCAGCATTTATCATATTCGGCTCTCAAAAAATACGAAAATGTGTCCGTTTGTCCGTCGTTATCAATGGACACAGACCATTTTTGGCAGGATAATGAGGAATAATATTCCAAATATAACCAAAATCCGATCATTTTTGACTGAGTCACAGAGCAAACATGGTGTGAAAAAAATTGGTGGCCATGTTAATAGATATGGATTTCTTGTATTTTCGTGACCTTGACCTTTGATCTTCCAAAATAACCACTTCTAAGTTGGGTCATAATATAAATGTATACCAACTTTCATCCAAATCCATCCAGTCGTTTTCGAGAAATATTGCTGACAAACACACACACAGAGGAGTGAACACATAAAGCGAATATACAAGTTAGACCGATTGTATAGCTTTTAATGTTAAACAGTTCTAGGGTAGACGTGTCTCTCGAAGTAAGCAAAACTAAACAATAGCTCTAATACTCATAATACAAAAAACATGTTAGCCTGCAGAACCTTCATTTACGGATTTCAACAGCATTTGTGATCCACTCTTTTCCTGCTATCAGCAGGCAGGACAGCGGTAAGTCTACGGACTGATTTACAATGCTAATATCCAGGGTTCGATTCCCTGCGACGGACACAACAGATAGTCCAACGTGACCTTGCTCTAAAACGAACAAACAAATCTTTTTCTCGCGCAAGTTACTGTCCACGAGACGTTTCGTTTAATACAGGACTGAGCCAGCCCAAGAGGGCAGTCTAAAATCTACTTCAAGTGTTATTTATATGCAGTTCGAAAAAAAAATGTTTAACATTAAAGTTTCAAAAGTCAAATTACAAATATTTAATTTTTTTAGGTTCATGTTTAACGTTACAGTTTTAAGCGTGAAATTACAAATATCAAGCTTTTTATTTCCATTTCTTCACCAACTTCAGGCGTTTGCTATTCTAAAACCCAAACAGTAATATCCACCAGGATTTATCAAAGAGAATCATATATTGCGTCTATTTGGTCCCACGTTGAACAAACTTTAAATGAAATGGATTTGCAGCAAAGGAAATTATTACGGTACTATTCTTGTATCTGTTCGCAACTATTAATTTACATTTCAGGTTAAGAAACTTGATAGTAGAATGCACTTGTTAAACACGGGCAGGTCACATTTCGATCAAAAGAAGTTTATTGTGAGATTCTGATACATAAGCATTTGATAGGTAACACAAGGACATACAGTTAAAAGAAAAACGTTTATAGAAAAATACCATATGAGTAGTATATTGCGAATTCTGAAATATTAGAAACTTCATTAATTAAAAAGAAAGAAAAGTCAGCAACGTAATTCATTTTGTAACATACTTTGCATGGGGATATCATCAGAAACGTAACTCATTTTGTAATATAATTTGTACGGGGGGTATCATCAGAAACGCAACTCATTTTGTAATATAATTTGTACGGGGGGTATCATCAGAAACGCAACTCATTTTGTAATATAATTTGTACGGGGGTATCATCAGAAACGCAACTCATTTTGTAACATAATTTGTACGGGGGTATCATCAGCAACGTAACTCATTTTGTAACATAATTTGTACGTGGGGTATATTTGACATTGTAATAATACAAAAAAGCCTCTGTGAAAGTTCATAATCAAGCGAAACGTAAACCCTTATTATGTATGCTTACATATATACGGATATCGTTATTTTAGACTTACTTTACAAACACGGGGATTGTAGAGGTATTCGCTACTTTTCATTAACAACTTCTTCGTCTGTCCGCCATTCTTATTTTTGTCCTTTTTCGAACGACACTCACAATAGAATTTTTCGTTGCTCTGGCCCATATTTTCTGTGGGGTATTTAATTATACAATATTAGAACAACTAAACAATATTTTTACAGGGCGGCAACTAATGAAACGTTCAAAAATGTAATACGTAGATCTGTTAGTCAGTTGTGTTCAACCACCAAGCCAAGCTGATATTCTATAAACTCAATGCAGCTTAACTGCGTTAGTCTGAGCCTTGGTTTCTCTTGATCCACTTATCTAATACACAACGCGTGGTTGGTATTTGAGCCGCGGCCGAGCAAGTAGAAAGTTTTGAGACACAATAACAAATAAAAAAACTTGTCCAATCAGCTTTTTGGAAAAACGTGGCTTACTTGCGCGTGATACTATGAAGTCATATATAAGGCTTGTACACATTATTTAGTGTATTGCCCTGTTAGCCACACACACACACACACACACATGTTCCGTATTTTGCTGCTCAAAATCTCGTGATAAACGTATATTTGTTTCTTCGTTAGGAGTTAAGCACAAAACTACATAATGGGCTATCTGTGCTGTGCCCACCACGGGTATCAAGCTTCGTTGCTTAGCGTTATAAGCCTCCAGACTAACTGGGGGGAGGGCAAAACGTATGTCAACCTAGTGTATACAATAAAGCTACCGTACGTCTTGTACAACGACGTGACGGCCTTTGCTGAAAAATTCTGGGTTTAGATCTCTGTACACCTGTATCTAATAATACTGTAAATTGTTATGATAGTTTAGAGGAATGAGTCGAATATATAGAAAAGTAGGGCTGATATTATCGAAATTATAACGTCAGTAATTTGTCGGTGTCAGGACCGTCCATGTTTTATTCATTCTGAGCATTATTTCATCTATCATATCTACCATAATGTAATAAGTAGTACGGTCACTATACTCTCCTCATTGGTCTCTTCTAAACTTGTGGTTACTTTTTATCCTCATTGGTCTCTTCTAAAGAGGTGGTTACTTTCTACACATGCATGTACTACAAATTCTTGTATTGTAAGTTAAAAGCTAGAAGAGCAGCTCTGAGGGTGCTCAGGTACATAATTCAGTATTACAACCACTAAGGGTTTGAATACTTTGAATTAAAACGATTTTGGAGCCTCACCACGTCTTTACAGTTTATGTCCCAATGTTCATTCATGCTCTATCTGACGATCGTGGATCTTGATATTAACTCTGCTGCAGTTTTTTCTATCGCAAAAGAATCTGTCATAAAGCTGTCCTGTCAAAAGCCCACCACTCCTTATGCATACTTTCCATAATTCATCTATTGTACGAGGACGACGGTTTGCAGCGTCCGTTTCAACAGTCTGATGACACAAAAATCCACGATTTTTCTATGGAATAGCATTTATACCCATTTCATTCTCTAGTTGCTTGAGGTATTCGATGGTTGAAATGGAGATAAGACTGGAAGTTTTATCTTGGTGAGTCCATACCCCTTTGGCCTTTTTTCCAGACAGAGATCATTCTTGGTTATGTTTCATACTGTGACTTTGAACACGTGGACAGATGTTGTACCGTGTTCACGATTTCTCAACTGTTATACAACGCCTAAATTTGCTCACCATTGCTAAGGTACAACTTGGTGCAGGTCTCTTGCTGGATGGTCCTGCCTCCCCAAGTTGATCCACATTTATTTGTTTTCTAAAGCCATTAAATACAAGGGATATACTTGTCTTGGAAAGTCCCCGATCTAAACAAATAGTTATGATCTGAGTGTATGATTATCTTACGTCGAAAAGAGCTGTTACATACCTTTTCCAAAAGCGACAAAATTTCACTGGCATCATAGTACCTACGAAACGCCAAACAATGTCAAAAGGTAGTTTGATACATGCTGTTTCACTGCGACTTTATATCAGCTACGATTGTCATGTGACTTGCTGATCTGCTCATTCAAAATCGTTTTAATATAACGTACTAAACTTTGTATATTGCATCTCATATGAAGATTATTGCGATATGTGGGTATTGCAGCTCTCAATAACAATACCAAAGTTAAATTGATTTTATAAAACTATTTAGAACATATAATCGTATCTGCTTTTGACGTTTCTAGCTTCCATGTTTTAGTAAGCAAATGTGTCTGATTAATGAAGAGTGATTGTTAGTATGTAGTGTGTCAGATTACTAATTACTAATCAATAGTAAGCAGTGTGTCAAGCTAATGAAAGTGATCAGTAGTAAGCAGTGTGTCAAGCTAGTGAAAGTGATCAATAGTAAACAGTGTGTCAAGCTAATGAAAGTGATCAGTAGTAAGCAGTGTGTCAAGCTAGTGAAAGTGATCAATAGTAAACAGTGTGTCAGGCTAGCGAAAGTGATCAATAGTAAACAATGTGTTAGGTTAGCGAAAAGTGACCAATAGTAAACAGAATGACAAGCGAGCAAGGAGTGTGTCAGGCTAGTGAGAAATGAATGTTAGTAAACAGTGTGGTGTTAATGAATTTTTATTACTAAGTAATTTGGTAACAAGAAACTTATTATGTAATTGGTGTGTGGTACTAGCAATGTGTGCTTTTCAGTAAACATCTAGATATTGTGACAATGAATATTCGGGTTAAGTGATTTGTGTTTCTAAAAGGTTTGTGGTACTAGAAATAACTCTTTGTTGGTAGGTATTTAGATATTGTGACAATGAATATTAGGGTTATGTGATTTGTAGTACTGGCGAGAAGGGTTGTTTTGGTAAGTAGTTTGATGTCTTAACAATAGATATTAGGGTTAAATGGTTTGCGATACTAGCGAGGAGTGCTTTTTAGAAAACATCTTGATGTTGTGACAATGAATATTAGTTAAGTGATTTGTGGTACTAGCAAGAAGAGCCTGCGGACTTACAACGCTAGAAACCGAGTTTCGATACCCGTGGTGGGCAGAGCACAGATGGCCCATCGTGTAGCTTTGTGCTTAACTTTAAAAGCAAACAAAAAGCAAGAAAGGTTTTTTGGAAAGTAGCTTGATATTTTAACAATGAATATTAGGGTTAGTGGTTTGAGGTACTAACGAGGAGTGTTTATTATTAAGCAGCTTGATGTTGTGACAAGAAATGTTCATTTGTAAGCGGGTTGTGTTCATAGGAAGAGATGTTTGTTAACAGTAGTTTGTAACATTAACAACGAGTATTTATTAGTAACGAACATAACTTGTTAAGAAGCAATTTTAGTAAGCATTTGTAGCAGTAGAAATAATGTTTAGTAGTAACTAACTTATGAAGCTAGCACAAAATTTGTTAATAAACGCGTAATGTACTGACAATGAGAGTTTCTTAATAAGCACTTTAGTATTTGTTAATGATTATAAAAGTATTTATTAGTAGCAAGGATTGTTTATTAGCAATTGAATAGCATATAATGGAAGCGAAGAATGTGATGCTTGATAGAAATGAACATGCAGGAAGTTGTGGGAAAAAGCAGTAACTATTAGTACTGGACAAAGGACTAATTTTAGTATAAATAAACGCTTCTAATGCTAACAAGGGGTGTTAAAAGGCAGCACGTAATACTAACAAGGGGTGTTAATAGGCAGCACGTAATACTAGCAAGGGGTATCATTTTATAACCAGTTTGAGGTTGTAGCAGAAATGATTAGTTTGTAACCAGCTTGTGTTGGTGGGACAAAGAGTGCTTCTTAATAAGCAGTGTGAAGTGGTTGTTAGTAAGCTGCTTATAATACCAGCAACTACTGTATAATTATACAATGAGAAGCAAACGGCTTGACATAATAATGCTTTTTGTTAGAAATAACTTGTGGTAGTAGTAAAGCGTTTATCAATAAGCTACCTGCAATGGTAACAAAGATGTTTTAGCATGAGGTGGTATACGGAGTATCTTTTAGCAGCATAGTAAGCAGCTTGTGGTGCTGCAAAGAGTGACTACAAGTAATCAGGATTGTGGTGGTGAAAAAATTGCCTGCTAGTAAGCAGCGTTTAGTGACTGAAGTATTCGCTTGTACACTGTGTGCGTAGAAAGAGTGTTTTAGTAAGCAGCGTGTGGTGATAGAAGGAGTGCTTACTAGCAAGCAGCGTGTGGTGGTAGAAGGAGTGCTTACTAGCAAGCAGCGTGTGGTGGTAGAAGGAGTGCTTACTAGCAAGCAGCTTATAGTAATAGTTTTTTGAGCAAGCAGGTAACTAGCTTCTAACGTAATATAGTTTCATAGCTCCTGAGGACGACGCGAATTGACGTCGAAACATACAGAATGCCCTTTAAGACCGTTGATCGGTTTTAGAATAAAGATTTTAGTTGTGTACCAAACAACGTTGATCGTTTGAGTGTTATAATATATTTTACATAAACAAACAAGTTCCTTGAATTTCATACATTTAATATTAGTTTCGTGGATTTTCTGTATTGTTAATACAGTAATCTAGTTTGACTTAAGTGCAGACAGATAGACATATAGGTCATCAGACACACAAATCACTTATATATATTTGATAACTGCAATTTTTTCGTCTTTTGTGCGCATCTATTTAAAGATGAAAAAACTTAACCCTTATCTGCACTACTTCCAAATTGAGATATCTTTAGCTCGTTTCAACAATATAAATGTCTTCCATCGATGTCTTGTAGTGTAGTTATATTACCTGACCAATCACGACAACCTTTGTTTAGCATAAAGAAGTTAAGAAATCACTCCTGCCTTGTTACGTTGTGGTGTCTTTTTAAACATAATCCTTTGTCGAAACAAACTTATTATAGTTTACTCTATCGCTGTTCACAAGTAAATGGTGGTGTTGTATAGTAACTGTAGACAATATAGATTCGAAAATACTGATGAGGAGTGGAATTCTCCGAAACTATCAGAACCCAATAACACGTGTTGATCAAAGTGCAGATGGAACTGGACCTTCCTTGAACTTAGACTTCGAAATTAAACAATTTTCGGAGTACTAAGTTAATTTATTAAAAATTCGGTTCAAAATCAACGATTATTCTTATTGCTTGGACGGTGGTGCGAGATGAACAACCGAGATTCATTCGAACTAGTGATCGACTCTTAACCATTTTAACTACATTGATATCTTACCTAAATTCTCTCCAGATGATATCTAATATTGAAGATCGACAAAACTTCACCATCATCGACTCTTAACCATTTTAACTACATTGATCTCTTACCAAAATTCTCTCCAGATGATATCTAATATTGA